TAAAGAATTTTTTTGGATGGTTAAGTGACACGGACTAGATCACAGTAGATGCAAGCAGACATGCACTACTGAGTTAAACCATTATGGTCCAGGGGTTCACTAGTTAACATCGAGGATGAGACGCGTTTCTATGGACAAACACTCCAATCCCTGACATAAACAAAGGACTACATGACTACAGTTAAAAACTACAACCAGAGCTAGGTTGAGCTTGAGCATGGAACAAATCATCATCAGGCTGTAAATCATTAAAGTATTAGTTGACCTAGACTAATGTCATAATACCTGCTGACACTAATTTCAATTATGTTTGGGTAATTGATCTTTAAGTGCCCAACATATTATCACGCCCACCCAACAGATGCTGATGAAATGTACTTATTATCATTATTCTACAGGTGGTGAGGTCCCAGATTACAGTCTTGTTTTCAGTTGTTGAGAGTGGTTTTATTGTAGTAAGCCGTTAATCCACACAACCTTACCTAAGAACCCGACGAGCATCTATTTCCAGCAACAGACAAACACGATGAGCCCATTTATTGACCTCGGCTAGGTGTGAGTGAAGCTGGAGTCTTGGGTTAGAATAAGATGTGGCAAACTCCATCACCTGTGTAAGCGCACAGTGACCACTTTTATACAGAGGAAAACAAATATGGCTTACTGGAAGCATTGTTCATTAAAAAAAGAAAATGTATTCGTCATGTACAAGCTCTGCAGATAGTCAGTGGACACTTAACAGGTCAGAGGTCATAGGTTGGGTGGGAGGTGTGCACAAATAGAGCAACTGAAGCTTCAGCTCCTTGATGAACTCTGTCGGATAAAAGAAGTAGTTTTCAACTCGGGCCTTATTTTCCAAGCTTATGTCATCATTACAGTTCACTGCAAACTGTCAAATGCCTTTCTGCCCATCAAAAGGTGTATTGTTCGTTGATCTGATTGGCTCCTATAGCCCATTATTGTCCGTCACTAAAAAGCTACCCCTTAGAACAGCTGATCCATGCAATGTTTAAAAGATACTTCCTTTGAAAGGAAGAAGAGGACAAGAGAAAACAAAAAACACAACTACAAATAGAATAAACGGTGAATTAGTTATGCAAGATAAAAACCACTAACACCCGCTAACATCTGTCTTCAGCAGGAAAGGTGCAATCAACAGTCATTTGTGTGAAATTAACATAATTAGCATCCAAATTCTTGAGGTAGACCAAAAATATGTTTTGTGAGGTCAGTTACCTTCGACCACCCAATTTTAATAAGTTCATCCTTGAGTCTAAGTGGACGTTTGTGCCAAATCTAAAGAAACCCCCTGCCAGAGTTCCTGAGATATCGTGTTCATGAGAAGGTGACGGACGGACACCCTGAAAACAAAGGGCCTCCTGTCATAACTGTCGCCGAAGAGATTTTAACAATTATTACAATTTATTAACGTACCTAACATACAATTAATCTGCGCTCCTAAAAGCTACCTCAGGCTGTCGCAAGTCTGCAATATTGAAAAGACAATGAGCTGTGCTCGTCACTGTCACTTTTTACCCAGCCACCCAATCACAATGGAAGAGGGGCGGGACAAATACCACAAAGACCAACCGTCACATCCTCCACGTAGCGCTGAAGAAAAACAACAAAGAAGGAGAAATGAATACACATACAAGTCAGTCCTCTCACTAACTGATTCAGCCTTCAGTTCAGAGCAAGCATGCCTCATGCCGACATTTTTACTTATATTTCATAACATAACCAGATGCATCCAAAGCGGCTCATCTGAAAATATAAACACTGCGCTTCATTGCTCTTCTGTGTTCGGCATAGCCCAACAATAAATCCTACTTATATCGCACTAAAATCTGGAGAGATGAAGTTATTTGCAAAAACAGGGCAGTAAAAAAGCATTACCACCACTCGCTAAATCCCTTCCCCACCACAGCCCTGAAGCTGCCACACACCACTGACTGAAACAATAACTTCACCTTGCTGGTCATTGTAAAAATAGAATGAAACAAACTGTTTGAAGTCTTTCCACTGTTCCAACAATCACCAACTCTGGTGTAAGAGTTTGAAAGAGAGACTGAATAAGTAACAGATAGAAAAAGAATTTCATTGTCTACCAACGTGTTCGTGGCATCGAACATGTCGTTGGTGTGGAAGTTCTTCAGTGCGAGTGAAGAACAACCTTAAAAACTAACTTAATCAGACACTTATTATATTGTCAGTTATTCCCATGCATGCTGCTCAGAGTAATCAGTGACCGGCTCTTCTGCATAGATACAGTTGTTTAAAGGCGATGTTTCACAGCAATATAAAATAGATGTTAGAGTAGTGTAAAAAAAAACAAAAAGTTAGTCTGGAGCCTTGCTGTCAATTACAGTTCTTAGAAAAACTGGCCGAGTCAGCAGGTTAGACATTTATTAAGTCAGAGCCTCTATGGTTCACAAAGTTTACTCAAGAAATATTTTAAGAATTTGTAGGAACAAATCCTGTCTCATAACCGTCTCTAAACCATGCAGCAGTCAAAATCTAAATTTGGCTAATTTTGGGCTTACTACGCTATAAGACGTGTAATTGTGTACCTCACTATTATCCTTCTCTGTATTTAACCATCTCACTTTCTGCCTCCTCATTCCTCCCTGCTTCTTCCACGCTCTCACACTAAATTGGTTTTGTAATTCAGGGTTAACCAGGGACAATGTTTTTTGCTTCCTTTAGGACACGCTAGAGAAATGTCTGAAATATTTGTGGTATATTTTGAAAATAGGGGCAGTGGAAGAGACATCGCATACAAGCTATGTTATAGGAAAACTGCTGCACTGATACTGTGGGCTCAATTATTTCAAAACAAAGACTTCTTTGCTGCAGAAATAAACTATAAAAATCAACAACGGCGTACACGTTGTCCGATTAGTGTAATTATTTGACATGATATAACGCAGTAAAAGATTTGAAATGTTAGCACCACATAGTTAGCAGAGCTCAGACTTACAATACTGTGGCAAGCAGCACCCAGAGATCTGAAGCCCAGACCAGTTTCAACACATGGGACACGAGCGTTAAGTCTCAGTAGCAAAACACAGCTGGAGTCAAGTAAACAGCCGCCTCACTAATGGTTAAAACCACAAACCATCACAACTACAACATAAGCCAGCATGTAATGAAAGGGCACATTGCTTATACTAACAAGAGGTAACATGCACTTTGGAACACAAAACAGCCAACGTGATGGGAAACGTGGGCCGTCGCTATTGCTACAATATTGCTTCACAAACTGAATTTTAACACTTTGGATCACCGCTATACAACATTCAAAACCGGCTACAGACCAGAATCGCAAGCCATGTTTCGGTAAACACGCCCATCAGGCCATCTTGCTTCGGTCCAGGTGTACAAACAAACTTCGACACATGCCCCAAATGAGAGGTCAGGAAATGGTTGCTCATTTTCTTTTCTTTTTTAATTTCTGTCTTCTTTTCTGAGCACCTGGCTTTTGACGACTGGCCCTTTGTTTATATTTATGTATAATTATTTAATTCCCAATGAAGTTTAATGTTTCAGTGCACTAATGTCATTTTGGACAAAAAAAAAGAAAAAAGATCATATCATATATACATATCACAATAGACCATTACTTCCTGCGCTATTTGCAAAGAAGACCAGATTCTTGAATTTTCGTGCTGACCGTTGAAACTGTGAAAATGGGAGCTGTGCAGCCATGCTTGTAGGCTGTTTATGTAAATAACACAGTGGATGACTAAGAACTACTTACTGTGCTGCGTTATAGCATCATGAGTGCAATAAACAAAGAGCTGGGGGCTCTACAGCGAGGGAAACAAAGCCTTCGAATGTGGCTGACCTGACATTAACACAGCTAGTTGCAGAAATGGGTGGAAGCTGTCACAGCAAAGCATCTCGGTTCAAGCAGAGAACCAAGTGAACAATGTCACTAAGCCGGGCAGAAAGATCTTGGCTATCCAAGTGCATATAAACATGACCATCACGGTGGAGACTGAGCTTCTATAGATCCCGTCCTGCATTGTACATTGTGCAGTGCCGAGTAGTGTTCACAGGAAATCTGCTGGATTCTTTAGCAGCTCAAAACAGGAAGAGAGAGACGTTCGTTCACTGGAAACCAAACTTTCTGGCAATCGCGGACGGTTTCAAGAGCAGAAAATAAACTCACATCCAACACATTTGTTCTCCTCAGTAAAATAAGACACATGGGAGAGGAAGGGATGCAGGAAGCAACGGGGTTCATGGGAGATGTGGTCCGAATGGGGGCGGGGGGGGGGAGACACTAACACTAAGCACTTCTGTGTTTTAGAGACTCCAACCTCGACCTGACCTAACACTGCGGCACACTAGTCAGGGCTAGTCGGAGAATGAATAGAGGTCTTGTCAGAGTAGCAGTGAAGTACGTTGCCTTCCTCATAATTTGGCACTTTGTTCCTGTGTTTACTCTCTCGCTCCCGACATGGCCTCAGACATTTAAACAATGGGCGACGTATCCTAAAAAAAAGGAAGAAGAAACCGCCCGAAAGGAAAACAACGCATTCACCAATTTGAACCAGAGCAAACTAATTATGGGTTTGAAAATGCCCTGAGTAGACATGTTGATTTTCACTGTTGGTGAAACATCAGTAGTGAACTGCATTAGACTGTAGAGGTGATTATGTGAACCACCAACGTGCAACAGATCTGCTACATTCCTGACTGGAACAGAAAATATACCTGATATAGGCATAAGCCAGCAACTGTGCATTAACTCAAATAAAGTGACAAAAAGATGATCACAGATAATGAAGGCAATTAAAAATGCAAGCATACTCAAAGAGATAGATTCAGTGGGAAAATCTTCACGGGTATAGATTTCATGAAAGGGAGACGTTAATGTTCTTCACAAACATCAGACAACATGAACTAATGACAGGTTGTTCAAAAGCCATGCTGTGACTCTGCATACCCATGATGTTAATAAGCAGGTGGAAACATTTCTCAGATGGATCACTCACCACAGTAGTAAGTCTGTATGCCCACCAGTATGTTCAGTCAGGGCCTTGTACCATGGGCTGAGAACCTGCAGCAACAAGGGGGAGAAAACACAGTCAGGGGCTTTTCAATTAGATTAGAGACAGACAAAGTAATTTGGAAATCAGTGTTACTGTTGCTTCCAAACTCAAAGGTCACATCGTACGTTTAAAAAGACAGCAATTATACACTCAAATTTACCGAAACACGAGCCAAGCTTCGGGGAGTTTCTATGGTAAGTCACTGTACGAGAGGATTCAACACACAATCCATCTCTGACAGACCTCCAAAAGGTAACTGGAAGGTTCATATATTTGGCATTTCCTGAATGAACGAGACAAGAAATTTTAAGTTTTGTATCAAAAAAGAAAAGTCAAAGATGTTATAAAAGGTTGCAGCTCTAATGATGCGGTGTGCACAATGCAACACAGATTCCTGCTGGCAGGGAAGAAGAGAGCAGCTATTGAGCCAACGGATGTAAACAGCGCTGGTTATAAACTCTGCAAGTGATCTTTGTCAGGCCTCAACGACACAAACAATGCTTCGTAGTGAGACACGTTGAATGTAAACATAACTGCGTTACTCCACGGGGCAACTTTAAAGCAGATTTTAATGCGTATGTCACTAACTAGGGAGCAGGAGACCTTCTCTCCGCCTGTACCTACGTCGGTAAAAATCATCAAAATGTAAAATAATACAGGGTTCTGTGGGATTGGCCTTTACCCTCTCATCCACTAAGCACTTGGGTTGGATTGGTGTCCACCATTTACAATGATTTCATCTCGAAAAGTGCCAAGACTCTGGGGGTGAGGCCTCAGAAGCGTGACCTTCAGGGACAAGGCCTTGAGCTCAATTGGAAAACTATCTGGGCTAACATATTTATCTCATCAAAAAAACCAGCACATCAGCTCATTCACTATAAGTTTGTGCATTAATGATATGACACCATACCTTCAAATGGGCCTTCAAAATAAAGCTCACACAACATAATTCTGTTGGTACAGACCTCCATGTTTTCTGGAAAATATCCTGGAATTTCTTATTCCAAAACAGCCAACCTTATTGTTAATTCAACGATGACTCCGCCCTCAGTGATAATTCCAGGTTAGCTTAGAAAAGACATATTTGCCGGTTTAAATGGCGCCAAGCGAACCGTACTACACTCGTGGTTCTCTCCTGATCCCCCATCGATGAGGGAGTGGCTCAATCATTTTAGGGATATTGCTCTGTAGATTTTACTGTAGATGCTCGGGACATCCTCATTGGTCCTCTTTCAAACACATTTTCTTACACAGATATAATGTGTCACTGTGACAGAATGTAAGAAGACCCACACATACACATTATCTTTTGTCTGTTTGCTTGTGGATTTCATTATTTTATTATTATTCTTTTTCTTTGCAAAGCAATGGTGATGTGTCTAATGCTGTTTGTATGTGCATAAATCCCTGTCTGTGGTACCTTGTGTACAATGTTTACGTGACAAACTCGATAAAATGTAATATAATCTCTTACCAACGCCATGAAGCAGCCAGCCGTACATGTCTAACCGTGTGACTGACACTCATTCAATGTGTGAACAATGGGTCACCTCTTCAGCGTGAGGACAGAGGGAGACACGTTCACTGCATACATCTACAGCAGACCGCCACCATAACATAAACACGTGTGTGTAAATGTAAAGCAATCAACACTAACTTTGTGAAGCCCGTTTTTGGTCATACTGTGATTCAGTTCTGTGGTGATGGAGGGTTGCTGGATTGCATAATACTAAGAAGTGGACTGGAAATCACTGAATGTTTCCCGGCTCCTTCTCTTGCCTCACTGCTTCCTTCCCTATTTTTCCCCTGACCTTGATTCCTTTTCCTTTAGTCATGCTTTCCCTGCGTCCTGTATCTGCTGCCTCTCTCTACGGTGGTGGCAGAGACTGCTGAGCAAAGGCAGAGATAGTATTACCACAAGCAGGAGTAGCTGGGTGCGGCCAGAGAAACACTGAAAGTGTTGTGGGTTGCCAAGGGCTTACCGGAGGACACGGCCCTGGCATGACGGGAATGAGGTTTGTACGCTGGTGGTTATCTCTGTGATCGAACGTGAAATACGAAACACGTGAAGACAAAAGGAGGAGTTATGTACATGATCATACTCATTTCCCTCCAGTAAATATCACAATATAGATCGTATAAAAGTCTCAAGATAATTACTCCTGACCCATCTTTTCAGTGGCTAGGTCTGCAGCCTGATCTCGAGCGCACAGCTGATAGCTACCTGATTTCTTTACGGCACACCAGGATATTTAGGAATCCCAATGGTATGATTTTCAATACCATCACAAATAAAGACGCTCCGCTCTCTATGACGCTGTGTTGGTGTGATGTGTTTGGGGGGTATTCGGGGTTCAGACTTCGTCAAACTACAAACTTTATAGCCACATGATTGTATTCAGCGGCCAGTCTGCTGCCACCACCGGCCCGTCATCTCAGCCCACCCAAAGGAGGTGTGGCACTGCGTAACATTAGCGAGTGTGTGGTCCAGAGAAAGTAATGTTACAACTGCGAACGCAGTAGGACCCAGAGTGGTTCGATTACAAAAATATGACCATTTGCATAACATGTGTTTCGGCGCGTTGCAAGAATGGCCTCCAAGCACGGGATCCCCCGGAGAGCAAGCTGCACTTTAAAAGCCTCGCCCACGATCCTCTCACGTGTGTTTTAGACATAGATCCACAAACGTAGCGCTCTATAAGCACTGCAAATTACAAATGGCTTATCACAGCGGTACAACTGTCACGCACGTCTTGCACAAACACTTCCAAAAGTGAAAGCATCCCAGACGGGATTCATCGAGATGGTAGCAGCAGCACGACAGCACTGCTATACAAATTTTTAACATCTGTCACTAAAGTCAGCCCACTTTAAATCAATACATTTTTTCACCCTGAAATAACTCTTTCATGATAAGAATTATCTCAAAGAACCAAATCAGTAAATCATTTCACGTCATTCATTTGTGCGAGGAGCCAACAGGACATCTAGAGAAGTCTCTTAACATGAAAGCTCTCAACAAACAAAGACTTCTATGCTCTTCAAACCTAAGAGACACATACATGGCAGCGATCAGCTACATCTCTGATTTGGGTCAGCATGAACTTTAAAATGGTTAAAATGTTTGCAGGGAAACATGCCCTCAAGACCCCCCTAGGGGTCCACCCACCAGACAACATCCCGTGGGAAACACTGGATTCCATTTGTACCTCAAAGAGTCTCAAAACCCGCCGGCGAGATTTAAAAGAACGTTTTCTTTCAACAAATCTTCAAAACTACTTATTCTAGCCAGAAGCATTAAAGAGCATCATTATCATCAGATGTTTATCTTACCGACGGTCCTTGAACACATCATGTGCACTTGTCAGAAAAAGCAAGCAAAACAAAGCTTATAATTGTGATATTTCATCAAAGAAAATATTTCTACTTGCCATATTTAAAATCTTGCCCACGAGCAAACCTTTTGCTTTAACAGTCCGTGAAAGTTAGACTGAGCTGCATCCTGCTGAGCACAGACCATTGAGGAGAGGACAGGTTGTAAGTAGAGGTAGTAAAAATGTAAATAGCTCAATGTACATAGAGTAGAGCCTCCATTATTCCCCTGTGCCCGTGTATATATGGGGAGCTTATGGACCACAGGCCTTTCACTCAACAACAATGCCACATCACAAACATGGGTCATACCACTTAGTGCATGTAACACCACAAGAATCCATGATGAGGTCTTTTAATACTGGCCAATCCAAAGCCACACGAGGCGAGCTCAACCAAAGCATAGCTCAGGTTTAACCCTGTACTTCAGATCAACACGTCAACATGTGATGCAGCACTGAGCCCCGGCTATCCCCGATAATAATGCAACACGATACATCGGAGCACTGCAGAGATCCCATGACATTCAGCTGGAGTTAAATACACCTTGACTTTCTCTCTCTCTCTCTCATGAAGTACACAAGCAGCCCCTCAGAGTGGAGAAAGCCCGTCTAGTAAAACACACAAGTTACAGATAGCCTGTGAGATAGCCTGTGAGACATTTTGGGCCTTAGCTCTTTGCAATGTACCCTGCAACGACATAAAAAATAATGCTGCATGTAGCTTTAAACTAACGGCAGAAATATATGAGACAAAGACGCGTCTGCCGCGGCCTGTTTAAAGCAGAGCTCATCCATTATGATCAGCCTTAAGTTGCTACACTGACCACAGAAGCCGGACATCGCACAGACCTACTTTTTGTTTATTTCTTCTCAAAATGGAAACACCAGAGATGCACCGATTAGACTTTTTCCAGTCCCGATAGGGACACCTGGGCTTTGGGTATCGGCTGTTTAATCAATAAGCCGTATGCCTCACTGTGTCGAAGAGTCTGGGATCATTCTGCTATGTGGAAGGTAACATCAGGCTCGACTTAAAAATAGTTTTCTTCACTTAACAAATAAACACAAAGATATAAATATACCGACTCATATGATATAGTCTCCGCTTCCAAATCCTGCATAACCAACTGCATTATTATTGAAAAAATATAAACCCAATATCTAGAAAATGAGCTAGCACGCAACCATACGCTACAAAGTCTGTGCAGCAGTAAGTCCTATCGGCCTAAAGTGCATATTCATTCATTAGCCCCTTTCACGTGTTTCCTTTTTAAAAAGCAAGTCAGCTGGAAACATTTCAAAAAGAACCAAGTATCAATCAGCTAGTAAGCTACAGATGGCTGATAAAATTGGCAAGCGCACTCAATATTTCAGCCAGCAAAGTTGAAAGTGAACGGCCGTGTGAAATCAAAGAGGAATTACTGCTACATTTCAGCGGTAAATCGGCAATCATCACTATTAACCTCTACCTATGCGCCATGCAAAGCTCGACACGCTTTTGTAGTAATTGTACACGACCGGTGCTTCCGACGTCAACGTGGACAAAGCGCGCGTTTAAAAAAACTAGTCCGTTACAAATTCCCATTGCTACAAATAAATTGTTTATATTCTGAGCAAAGCCGTGCCTCCTCGTG